CCAGTGGAGGAAAGTATCTTTGTTTACAATCATTTGTCATCCATCCAAAATTATCTAGTTATCTTAGACTGTCCATGTGTACACAGGAATGCCTTTGTTTTTAATAACATATTATCTTTGGAAAATAAACAGGAAATCACAAAGAGATGATAGTTTATAGGTTATATCAGCAGCCTTCGGTTGTTATTATAAATAGAAGGCATTGTAAAGTGATCACTAAATTAATAGGTTTTTGTTTTGTTTTATCTTGTTTCCAGTTTTATTGAGAAATAAATGACATATATCACTGTATAAATGGAAGGCATGCAGCACGATTGCTTCATTTTCATGTACTGTGATATTATTACCTAAATTAATAGTTTTTAACATTTAACGAAATCAGAAATAAAATGAAGATGAGCAGTGGTCCACTAGTCAAAGAGGATTGAGGGTCTCAGTGGGCACTGACCCTGCATTTGGGGGTTATTGACTGCACTATCCTTGACTGCCTTATAGGGCACAATTCTCCCCTGAGACAAAAATTTACTACACCATACTGCCTCCCTGATAAATGTCATTGCTGTCTTCACCTCTTGCCCCTGCCAGGAAGAGTGCTGTTTCCTTATAAATCCTTGTTTCCTACATTTTCAGTTAGGAGAAAATGAAGCTAAGGGGTGTCACATACCAAGCCCATCAGCTCATAAAACTGGCACAGGAGAAGAAAATTACTACCAGCCCTTGCATTTACTATTTTTCATTCATTCAATTTAGTATTCAGCTGCATCCTGAACTTTTTTAATGCACCAGGCGTTGTGCTCAACTCAGATAAACAGGCAATTTAAAAAGGAAAACCAACAAATTATACTCCGGGAAATTTCAAAGTAATATTATAAAGAAATGTGTGGAAGAATTCAAAAAGAGATAAAAACAACCATTTCTGGAGTAGTCAAAAAAGTTTTCACCAAAATTTGGCCAGAGATCTGTCCGTTGGAGAACAACTGGGCATTTTCTTAGATGAATGAAAGTACTAGAGAAGGACTCAACATCTTAGGAGGAATGGCATACCAAGAAGTTGGGATGCAAATTTGAAGGCAACTGTGAGTCAACAGTCAACAATGGTCTTTGAAGATGGAAAATGACATGATCATATTTATTTGAATATCATTCCAGTGGCAGCACAATGAGAGTTATGAGGTACCAAACAGAAGCCTGTACAAATTTTCAAAAGTTAGACAATATCAATGAGAATGCCATATTTGAAAGATAGTGTGAGATAGAGTTACTATGTTCGCAGCTCACTGTGGGATGTGAGTGCAAAGGCTTAACCATGCCTCCATGTATATGAAGGAAAGTATAAATATTGGGTTGACCAAAAAGTCCATTTCGTTTCTTCTATAAAATAAAAGACACATTCTTCATTTTCACCAATAACTTTATTAATCTGGACATTTTAAGTATATTGGCTATCTCCCACATGGTATAACATTGGTCGTTCTCAATGTATTGATTTGATTGCTATCAACTTTAACTGGTCAACCCAACTCTGGAGCATTATCCAGTGAGAAATCTCCAGCATGAAACTTCACAAACCACTTTTGATGTGTTCAATCAGTCACAGGGCCTTCCCCATACACTGAACAAATCTTTTTTGTGTGTTTCAGATGTATTTTTACCTTTCTTGAAATAATAAAGCATAATATGCAGAAAATGTTGCTTATTATCTTCCACCTTCAACGTTAAAATGGCTGCACAAAAATTCACCAGTTTTGATACGTTTTTTAAATGCACACTGATATGACAGTTGTCACAATATAATCTAACAAAATTATTTCAAATGAAGTTAAAGACAACAAAGTGCTACTATGGCCATCTTATAGAAATTAAAAATAAAAACATTTTGGCCAACCCAAACAATTTGGGTTTTATGCCAAATATTTGTAGAATATAATATACTCCAAGTACTCAGTAGGCAAAAATAGTTGGATTTATGAGTTTGTGGCTCAGGAGAAAATTTGGGTTTGGAGATGTAATGTGGATTTGTGAGTAATATGTTAAATTACAACCATTTGTTTAATGATGTACCTTAGAGAAACAGCAAAGATGTGTAACAATAGAGGACCCAGAATGAATTTCTAGAAAATAAAGACTTGTGGTGAGTGTGTAGAGGAGGAAATAGGACACATTAAATAGAAAAATCAGAGGTTATGAATAGAAAAACATGTCCAGGAAGCCAAAGAAAAAGGAGCATTAAAAAGTAGACTAAAATGGTCAAGCAGTACAAACCACTGGTTTGCCAATTAATGGGTCACTCACAATATTAATGAAGAGTTTCTGGAGAATGATTAGGAAAGAAGGTGATGCTAAGCTCAGAAATAAATGGGAGTGAAAGAGCAGAGATACTGAACACTTACAGATATTATAGATACCCCATATGGAACAGGAGATTTTACAGGCTAACATCTGTGAATGAAAAACTCTAATCACCCATGTCTATGGCTGCTCTTGCTCCTATCACCTACTGCAGCACCACAGTTAGTATATATTCCTCCCATGAGAGAAAGAAAGGGAAGAGAATGAGAGAAGGAGTATTTAGTGTGTGTTTTATATTCATAAAAAAATTCCAAACTGGACTTTCATATTGTCTCTAAATGAAGATTTACTACAGGACTACAAGAAGGAATATTTTAAACTGTATGCCAACAGGATGACCCAATATCACTGTACACTATGCTTTAAAAAAAAATAAATATTTTATTTATTTATTTTTTGAGAGAAGGGAAGGGAGGGAGAGAGGGCAAGAAACATCAGTGTGTGGTTGCCTCTCATCTGGCCCCCACTAGGGACCTGGTCTGCAAACCAGGCATGTGTCCTGACTGGGAATCAAATCTGTGACCCTTTGCTTCACAGGTCCATTCTCAACCCACTGAGCTACACCAGCCAGGGCCTGCACTATGATTTTTATAAGTCTTATACTTAACTTGTGGTTATCAGAATTATTTTTACATTATTATTAAAGTACTAAAAATGATTATTTGTATTGTGCAGCTTTTGAACTATGTTTGAGCATTAAAATTTTTTTCAACTGACCAAGATCCACCAAAGTGAAAATATAATGGGCCTCCCTGGCCTCTGAGAGGTCCTGATTCCAATTTTCTGGTAATTTCTACCTTCTTGGATGTTTTTGTGCACACTAGGGGCTTTTCTGTATTTATGGACCCATCTACTACAGGGACCAAATGATAACTGGTTTTTATTCCATCTTCTCTTGCTTTTTTGCCCCCTTAAGCTGGGTTCCTTGAACCATCACCATTACTTCTTCCATGCAATGGTAACTAATACTTCTGCTAGAATTTTCACTAAATGCGCAGCTGTCTCTGCAATTTTTTGCATCTTATCTTTTCCTTCTGAACCCTGGTAGGTCTCTAAAGTTTCCAGGTGAGAAGTATGAGAATTGAGAAGAACATCTCTCTCCCTCCCTTCAGTGCATTCTATTGGAGAGGTAGCAAGGGTCCGGCTACCTTCCTGCCCCACCCATGTACACTGTAGGACTCCAACATGATGCCATGAAGGCTGCGAGAAGACCTCAGGGACAAACATGACATACTCAGCATTGCCTTGCACTCTGAGAATGAGATTTTTCTCACTGGGCCAAGAAGGTTTTGGTTTGTCCATTCTCTTGGTATAAATTCTTTTTCAAATGGTTACCTGAATGCTGGCATCACTCGAACCTCAAGGCCAGTGCTACTCTGTTGGTATCATTAACACCCCTTCATTTCCTTTAATCTCCCCGTGAAGTCCAGGAGAGCAGGGATTTTCAACCAGGGTGCTGTGGCAGCCTGGTATAGAGTCAGAGACACATGGGTGCACTGCAGGATTTTTAAAACACGCAGTACCTGGCTGCTTTGGGCACTGCCCTCTTTCCCTTAGACTGCCAAATTTAGAAAAATCACAACAGCCAACACAACAATAGCCTTCCAGTGTGAGTTAAAATTTTAACTATTTTTGTCAGATAGGCAAAAATATATATAATATTATATGTAACCTGTATAATATTTTGTCATACCCCAAACTTTTAGTGATTATGTGTGCCATGACATGAGAAAGGTTGGAAATTACTGCACCAGAGTAATCATGGCAGACAATACTCATTGACCTCCTGCTATGTGCCATAAGTGATTTATTTAGTTTGTTTCATTTAATTCTCACAAAAAATGAAATATTACTATCTTCATCTTACAGATCAGAAAACATATTAGAATATTATATATGTAAACTAAGTATTCTATATATAAAACTAAGTATTAGAAAGTTATATATATGTGCAGATATAGATATAGATATAGATAAAATGTATATACATTAGGTTTACATAAAACCAGGCCTTGAATCAGACCCACATCGGCTTGGGTCCGAAGGCCCAGCGCTCATCACCATGTTATTCTCTAAGTGCCTTCAAGCCAAGGGCTTTGTCTGCTGCATTCTCACTGCACCTGCAATTTTCCTAGTACTAGGAAATGGCACAGAGTGTGTGGACATGTCAACTAATATTTGTCGAGTGAATGAATAACTGTGGAAAATAAACCCCTCCCTGCAGTACCATTTACAGTTGACTTTGGAATTTGTTTTGGAATGCAGGTTCAGACAGATTTATTAACCTCCAGCCAATCAATTATTTAGTTCTTATGCACTGTAACATATGTAGCTTTATTGTGCTGGACTTCATTAAAGAGACAAAGAAGAAACACAATCTTTTGCATCTTGGAGCTGACTAGTTTGTAGCAAACAAACAAATGTGTGTCCATAGCCAGAGCTTCCCATTAGCAAACCTCACGCAGAATCCTGAAGTCAGGGAACCCTAAGACTCCCTTGGCAGAGATGGGTCTCCCAGAACACAGAGCAGGGCAGAGCTCTGCTGAGATGGGCCTGGGAGGGGAGCCCTCAAAGAGTAACCAGCACACTACCACTGGACGACGACTAAAAGCTCTTCAAAAACTCTTTCCTTTCAACTCCAAGAGACTTACCTTAACCAAACCAAGCTACAGAGATCAAAGTAGACTCCCCGGACATACTGCTTATCTTCAGTTTGCCCCTTCAGCTCCATCCTCCTGCTTGCTCTGCCCTGGAAAGATGACCTATGTGGGCTGCGTGGACAGACTCATTTGTCATTGGCTTCTGGGTGGTTCTGCTGTTGGGCAGCACCTGTAAGAGTTGGAAAAAGAGAGAGTGGAGAGTAAATTCAGTGCATATGTTACCCTGGCTCTCCTCTCTCCATCTTCTGCGTACACTAAAGTTGGACCTTTGCATGGAGTGATTCTCTCTCTCTCTCTCTCTCTCAGCTAATAATTGCCTTTTCAGGGACAGTATGTGGGTTGCCCTGTTAATTTCTCCTGAGTAGTTCCCTATATTTTATTGCTTCCTCATACTCTGTCTAAACTTTTGTAGATGGTCCCTTTAGTACAATTTCACCAAAAGATCCAATTTGAGGTACATCATATTCCCTGCTAGGACCTGCTGGATTGACAAACCAATACTATAGAGATACAATACACTGAGTGAAGGAAAGAGAATTTCTCTGCCCTCAGAAAATGAAACAGACTAGTAGAAGCTTGAGAAGCCAGTCTTTTCAAAGCTGTATAATGTGCTTCATTAAGGTCTAAAGTCATAGAAGCTGCTAGATTCTAGACTAGTCATGAGTAGAGTTGTAACATGTCATGAGTAGAGTTGTAACATGTATAAACCAGAAACAAAATTCTGAAACATTATCTTCCCCTGGCCTAAGAATCTTGGGCTTTAGCCTTTTGTATTTTCTAAAGCAGAAGGGGAAAGTCTTCCATTTTCTCAAGTGCCACTACAATTATGCTATGAAAGGATTAATGGAACTTGATGCACATACTGATCCACAATCTCCTGACACTATTTAATAGAAATCATATGCCATTCATTACATACAAGCTCTTTTAAGAGCTCTCTGGGGAGTTATTCATAGGAATGTTGTGGCTAGAAGGTAAGGGCTTACAACAGCTTGTAGAGGTGCAAGTTGGAGTGTGTGCGGTGTGCAGTTTGGAATAGCCAAAAATATGGCAACTGGGGAATTGCCCTAGTCAATCACCAATAAGTTGAGGAAATGATATAAAAATGATGGCCAAGTCAAGAGATATTCACTGTCCTCCAGGGTGCAGATTTTAAACTTTGCCCTGCAAATTCAGCAATTCTTAATGCATTCTTTGTTACGCTTATAATTATTTCTTCATTACACAACCCATATAATTTACATTTAAACAGATGTTTTCTCCATCCAAAGAGACAACTGTCTTCTACCTTTTCCCTACCATGACTCAGCCGGATTCAGCCAGGTGAGCAAGAAAAGTTTTGAGCTTTTTATCTTTACTCAACAATGCTCCCCACACCCAGACAAGAGCTAACACGTGCTAAGTTACTGTTTCCACATTTTTTAAACAAATTCTGTCTGGTCTGGAGAAGGTTTAAGAAACATGCATTTGGATGACATGTGTACAAACATTGAGGCTGCTTTGAATGGGCAATAATGTTTATGGTTGGGGCAATCTGGAGGTGTTTTTTTCCAGCCATAGAAAAATCCACCACAGCCTGTACTGATAACTTGTCCTGGATTAGATGTCTGAGAAACTTTCTGAAGCATGTTAACATTTCAAACCTCTGTTAAAATACCAATAACAACTTTCTATGTAGAAAAATAAACAAAATATAGCCTTTGGTTGGTTGTAATTGAAAAACTGGAGTTTACTGAGTTTGAATTATTAAGATTACAATTGATTCTTTATGACATTATACTCATAGCCATTACAAAATTCATTTAACTGTTATATCTTAAATCCTAAGGTTTGAAATGTTATCTTCAATTGTAACATATTTTTAAATACTTTATTTATACCCCATGAAAACATTGTCTCTATTTTATCCTTATAATATTTTTTAAACATTTTATTTATTTATCTTTAGAAGGAAAGGGAAGGAGAGAGGGAGAGAAATATCAATGTGTGGTTGCCTCTCGTGTGTCCCCTGCTGGGAACTGGCCTGCAACCCAGGCATGTGCCTTGACTGAGAATTGAACTGCGATACTCTGGTTTGCAGGCCCACACTCAATCCACTGAGCTATACCAGCCAGGGCTCTATCCTTATAATATTTTTTATTTAATCTTTATTTTATTTTTTCCATTACCATTTAGTCCCCTTACACACCCCTCCCCCAGCAATCACCATACTGTTGTCCATGTCAATGAGTCCTTTTTCCTTTTTATCAATCCCTATATTATAGTGCTACTCAGGATAAGTGACTTGACTAGAAGTACACAGACAAATCATGGTAGAGATAAAATTCAAAGCTGGGCTTTTCAAACCTAAATTGTGTGCCATTTTTGTCATTTAGCCAATTTCTTCTTTATGCCAAAGTGCTTATCTTCTTGATCTACACTTTGGAGAAGTCAAGACATTAATTCAGTTATAAGTTCTCCCCAATTATAGTTAAAGAAGAACCTCATGCATCCTCCGGATGTTACAGAATGTGCTGTTTGAGTGAGATATAAAGGGATGGTTTTCACTCTTTGTTTCCTCTGCTAATTTTCTCACACCACTCAGAAAGTCTTTTGGCCTAAGTCTCAACTTACTCTTTAAAATATAACAATATATGTGTCTGGTACTTTAATCTTGGATGGGCAATTGTAAAATAAGCACATGGAATATAAGGCCCAGATGCATGCTGTTCACTGTTTCAAAAGTTCAATTGGTCTCTTAGCTACTGTCCTCATCACATCAAACTGTCTTCTACAGAGACGGATAGTTCATCCTGAAGTCATCCACTGCCAACTATGGCTCATTATTATGATTCCCCTGGGTCAAATGCATTCTCAAACTGCATCTTCCCTTCTAATTCCTCCTAGCAAATGTGTAAGTAAGTACTTTTATCTGTCTACTTGCCTCTAGAGTATGATCATATTCTACAATCTCTGAGTCCCAGGAGAACTCAGGAATCCTAACATTGAAATAGGCCTTGAGCCAAGGATAAGAGTAACTGTGGTACTAGAAAAAAAAAGAGATAAGATGGAAAGGGCCACTTTGTGAAATGCACCTTATATTTAAATCCTTCCAATGGGCATTTAAGCCCAGGAGTGCCCCTCCTGCTTACATTCCAGGAGAAGTAAAGAACAGAGAGGGTTGTGCCTCTCAAACAACAACAATAACAACAAACCAAACCTGGTATCAAAATTGAAAAGGGTGGAAGTTATAAGAGGAAACACAATAGCATGATCCAGTCAGATATTTAGTCCTGATTTGTGTTTAGTAACTCAAATTTGAAACAATCCCTAAAAATGAATTACTTCCCTTGTGGAGAGAAGCAATATTAAAGGATAACCAAAAACATAAGGTGAATTTCTAAATGAAGGCCAAACCCTCAGATGGCGATATAGGTTCACAAATAAATGGTGCAAAAGAAACTAACTGCCCCTTTGAAATAAGAATGTATTAAATTCAGCTGTTGATTTTTTCCATGTATTTCAACACATTCATAGAGTTCTATTTTTGCAGTTGATAAGACTAGTGAAGACAAGCCTCAAAAATATTTTAGGCACTTCTTCTTATCCCATCTGCAATTACTAAAGGAACATTTATTGTCTTTTTTCATGTTCCAAAAGTTATTTGTGTCCACTGTTTTAAATTTGTAAAACACTGTACAACCCAATGAAACTAATAATATAATCTGTAATTGCATCACTTACTACTGTTAATATCTGTAATAGTGTATTTTTTACATATGTTTAATCAGTATATTGTACTTCACCACCTTGGAGATTCATAATCCTTTTAACATGAGGATATTACCCAACTACCCAAGCTACAGACTTAACTTCTCCTTACACATGACCACTTATATTCAATATATTGTCAAATACTGTAGATTCCATTGCCTTTCAGTCTATTATATCTCATATTTTTGCCTTTCTATCTACAATGATAATACCTTAATCTATATAATCTCTCATCTCGGTTATGGAACTAGACCTAATTTATATCTCTACTGCTTTGTTTCACATTACAACCCATCCTTCACATTACTACCAAAATTAATATATTCAGTGAACCAAAGGTTGTGGTATTCCACTATAAAATATTTGAATGGTTTTCCATTTCCATTTTCCATTTGAAAAATGTCAAACTCTTTAACATGGAGTACGAAGCAATCCATCCTCTGTCCCCTCTTGCCAGTCTTTACTCTGGCTACATTCACTTCTTCCTTTGTGTCCCAATTATTCTGAGCTGCTTCTGTTTCTCCAAATGACCAGGGTAATCTATGATCTGCCCAGTGATTTTGTTCATGCTATTTCTCTATCAGGATACCCTCATCATTAGCTCCTTTTGGAAAATCTCTGTTGCTCTCCCCATCACTTTCCACATAGAATAATCTCACTCTCCTTGATGCTTCACACTATTTGATATTTCTATCTATGTAGCTCAGTTTTCACCTGTTACATGTTTTTCCCTCCTAAAACTATACTGCTTGATGTTACCAGTCTTATCAGCCTTAGTGTACTCAGGATCTAGAGTTCAAACCCAAGTACAAAGGTGATGTTCAAATATATATTAAAATAAAGTAATGGATAATAGAAAAGTGTGGTGCTCTGATATGCTGGCAAACACCAACCAAAAACTTCACTTGAATATCTTTTAAACAAACACATTCTTTCCATTCCTATGTCATCCTCACTCTATATTTATCCACTTTGACTTTGTTGTCATAAATGAAGGGCAAAATTAAGCCTACATAAAATCCCCACGGAATGGCAATTCATAAAATGTTATAAAGAGATGAAACTCGGCAAACACCACAAACCTATTATGAGAAAATTGTCATGCATTAAATCTGCTGAGAACTGCAGGATACTTAACTGATAGTCACATTTGCTTTGGGATGTTTGCCTAGAAATGTTCTTTTAGTAAATGTACTCAACAAGATGCATAATTTAGCTCCTTTTCTGCAGTCTGCTGGCCAGTTGCCAGCTCTGAGCTCCTACTTCACCTCTCTCTTTCCCTTCTCCCTTGATCTCTCACCATCTTTCTCTTGGGTTTTACTCGGCACCAAAGTTACCTGCTGGTCTAGTACAAACAGTCTCATTAAAAAGCCATCACCATTGAGCCTGATGGCCTCACTTCTTTCCCAATGGCTC